ACGCCGGTTCGTCCTTCACGCGGCACCCAATTTGGACGTCCTAGTTGCATGTCGGGGACGTCAGCTCCTCCTTGACGCGGCATCCGATCTGAACGTTACCGTGGTTGCGTAGAGGGACACCGTCTCCTCCTTCACGCGGCGGAGTGGAGACGCGATAGAGCGGCAGAGTGGAGACGCAATAGCGTGGCGGGGATGATGGTTCCTCCTTGTTGGAACGCGGCGGCGAGGGCGGTGTTGGGTCACACTCCTGGAGCGACCACTCAGTAATGCTTCCGTCAAAGTGAGGAGACGCGATTGATACTGTAGCAGCGTCTGGCCCCCTCGTTGCCGGAGGAGATGGCGATCTCCTCTTTGCCAGAGGAGTCGGACGTCGTGGAGACCGAGGGCCCACGAAAGCGCAAGCAGTGACACCATGAGCTTGATGAAGGTCGACTATTCTGCTGGCACAGAGAACCAAGATTTCAACATCGCTAGAGTTGGTGAGGCTTGGGGCGGAGGAGGGGCTCGGAGAGGAGGAGGTGTGGATTTGCATTGGCGGAGCACGGTTTATTTAGCCGCGGCGAGGCCATGCGAACGGACGGCCAACCCGCTTCAATACGTCGCAGCGCCCGAGTTGGTTTCTTGGGGCGCGGCATCCACATTGAAGCAGCGACACCCGAGAGGTCGCGTCGTCAGCGCTGCCCTCCCATCCGGTCATGTCGCACATCGTCAATGTCGGCCGGTACGTGCTTTGGGCCGACATGAGTGCAGCAAGGAAAACGACGCGTGCGTTGGATGGAAATGGTGGGAGAGGACGGAGGTTTTGTTAGGTGGGCTACGATATTCGTAAGCAGGCGTGGCAGTGGTCCAGATGTTCGCATAGCCCTCCCCACGATTTGCGGGTCCGTACCGCCGAACGGATCGATAAAGACCATGCTAGATGGCAAAACATGTCTGGACCGCGTGATCCGAACAATTACGGGCGGTTTGAGAGTCGGCGTTGAAAATGCCCTTAATCTTTTCTTCCATCTCAGGTAATACAAAGGATTACAAATTCAGCCGGCCGCTTTTTCCATGAGAAGAGGGCAAACTTAATCAAGTTCAAATTTGATGATGTCAGTTTGATCAATTTCAATGACATCAAAGCAAATCTGAAGATAACAAGAGAGGGGCAGAGACTTACGTACGAGATTGACGAGCAGAGTGGCAAAGTGAAAGCTTGATCAACTTCAAAACAAATCAGATGATAGCAGTTCAATCAATTCCATTGCTCCGTCGACCTCCCTCCGTCGACCTCGCGTCCACTTCAGCGGTCAATTCCACTGCGCGTGGACTGCGCGTTTCTGTCGTCATCGCGCCGTATACGTCCGAGGATCTCGTCTAAAAAATGACTCCACACCTCCTTAATTCTGTCCACCGAACCTCGTTCCCCTCCCAGCTCCATCGCCACAGACTGGAACCCACTCCACTCGCACTCAAGCGCACACCACACCCCATGGCTCTCAACGGCGGCGGCGCCGCCACTGCAGCGTGCATCCTCGTCCTCCTAGCACTCGCCGGCGCCGCTGGGGCAACCTTCTCGGCGCCGCCGCCGGTGGACTGCTCGGCATTGTTGGCTGGCCTCGCAGACTGCCTCGACTTTGTGTCGCCCAGCAGCAAGTCGAGTCAGCCTTCCAAGGCCTGCTGCGGGGAGGTGAAGACCTCCGTCGGCAGCCCCGCCGTCGTGGACTGCGTCTGCGCCGCCATGTTCTCGAAGCTGACGCAGTTACCGATCAACAGGACACGGGTGTACGCTCTCCCCGACGCCTGCGGCACACCCGCCTCCGTATTGAACAGGTGCCATGGTGAGCACCGTGCCTTTTCTCACTTCCTCCATAATCTTCTTGTCCTGAGTTTGGCTAGAATCTGCTTCCCTTTTTTACATCAAGAAACTAGAACTAAATCGTGTTGTTTTACTAGGAAGTTTATCATTAGTTTGATTCCTGTGTGGGATTTACGATAAAAGATCTCGATTCGTGTTAGAGCATCTACGACTGCAATGCACAAATCTGACCACCTCTATGTTCGCGGACGGATCCGTAAATAGGAGCCAACCAACCCCCTATATGTCCTCCCTGCAATCACATTCTTCACTTGCATAATCTCAAATCCATGCAACCGCATTCACGACCATTTGACAATACGAATACACGTACCAATGATTATATCACACAATTAAAATTCGGGACGATGGCTGGGTCCGGGGTGACAAGGACAACAGTGGGTAGTTTGCGGCTGATGGTGGTGGTGTTGTGGGTTGGGAACGTCGGCGGAGCTAGGATGACGGCGGCGGCGAAGCAAGGGAAGGGATGGCATGGACGAGATAGAAGAGGGCAGGCCGGGCAAGGGTAGGGGATGATTTAGAGAGATATGGGATAAATCTGACCTATCAGATCCGACATGACAGGCGCTTTCGAGCGTCCCCATATTCACCACACATATGGACTAGATTTGAGGGGTGGCAGACAACCTGAACATTTGGGGGGAAAGTGTGTGTGTGTCCGAGCGGTGGCATTTTGTGTGTGTATATGCACTATAAAACTTGTTGATGGATTCTTAAATGGCGTACGATCGATGATTGAGCGAGATCTCGTTCCGGTCACGAAACATTTTTTATTATACGACGGGGAGAGCTTGTTCTCATGAAAGAACGGATGCACCCTCCCCCAAAATGGCACCCCACCCCCTTTGCCCTGCACCGACAAACCGGTCAATGCTTGTGCCTAACCAAGCCAATCACAACAATTCATCCTCTTTCGTCGAGTAGGTGGCTCTTCTCCTTTTCTTTGTTTGCACATCGAGCACTGGCGAGTATTGATCCTCCACTCTTCAAAATTCTCCATCGCCGTTGATGATATTCATCATCCCATGTCCAGTCGTCATCGAGCTTGGGTGGGGTGGGGGTCATGCTGAACAATGTCCAGGTACCCGTGAACGAGGGCTTCTCCAACGGTAACCATGACTCGACGGGCTGCGATGACTCGATGAAGTTGTAATAATTGGTGAGGTCCCTAGTGAATGGTCGAGATCCGACGGAGTGGGTTGAAGCGCCAGACTGTTGGGTGGCTGTCAACCAATATTGGGTAGACGCGGAATAGTAGGGCAATGCATACTGGGTGGGCCAGGGAAACACGTATCCAAGTACACGACAATGTGGCGTGCAAGATGAGCTGGCACTCGAGCCGCCACACCTTCTCCCTCTTGCAACTCTATATGTTTGACAAAAATGTGTTCGACTTGGAGTCGGCGTACGCGCACGGTGGCTATGTTGGGACCTCGAAGATGTTGATGGTTTGTCGGGCCAGAGAGATCCATTACAGCGGCAGATGGCAGGGACAAAGTCACGGCGGGGGCGGGGGTGTTCGAGCTGGATTTGGCGGCAACAGGAGGGGGGAAGGGGGGCAGACACGAGAAGACGGTGGAGGGGTGTGAAAGCTATGTGATCTAGAGTTTTGATTAGGGTGTTCGGAGTCCGATGTAGCCACTTACTCCACCCCTCGATTTGGAGCCGGCTTGAGAGATTTCGGTTCGGATACGTCTGACTAAAGTTAAGGGTCCGCGTTACATGCTAAAAGTGTTTGGACCCTCCCATCTGAATATTCAAGGCTGGAATAGGGGCCCACATTGGATACGGGACCAATCCACATACGACACAACTTATTTAGTAAACAATTTGACTTTATTAATAAATCTGACAAAGTACATCAAATCGAACAAAAACGAGTCAGCAAAGGACCAGGATAAAACATAAAGTCACATCAAAGTCTTCTATGGTCATTGACCCTAGATCCATCTCTTGCATGTCAGACTTTTCTCCATCCATCCTACGAAGAAACTACAGAAGACCAGACATGCACAAGCTTGATTGATCTCAAAGGTCCGCATGCGGCCCTCACCCCAAACAGGTGACAACCTAAAATTGTTGAACGCACTATGGCAAGGACACACCCCTTGCAAGATAGGTTATCGAACTGTTGCTTCATCGTCATATTGCCGAGGAAGAAGACTGGGCGCACAAAAGAACAAATCAACATACCCAATGACAAGAGCATGCTTGACAATATTATCGCCACCACCATCGTCAAGATAGTTTGAAGCAGCGGACGACGATCCGCGAGAATGGGACCACCGACATGCGGGAGCAAAAGCCATAGGCACTCTGGTGTAAGTCGTGTCGGCCACGACAACCACACCAGGACGAGGATAGAACCATGGAACTTGTATTTTGCATGACACTGCCTCTATTATTGAAACTTTTCCGTCAATTCTCAAAGAAAAACATTATCGCCAAAGACTTAAAAATCAAGCATAGATATTAGATAAAAAACAAAATAGACTCTAAGCGTTTTTTTAGAAAAGGTTGTTACGTGTTCATAATAAGAACAATTGTCCTGATAAAATTGCAGAAATGACCTCAAAATAAAAAATAATACAATCAAGTCCTCGGAGGTTCCTCTACACAGAAAAGCAACCATCCACCATCGTCACCCACTGTCGACGAAATACCGCCGGAGTGGATGGAGATGAAGATCCATCGCAACCAAATCTGAAGAAGCACCGTCGCAACCAGAGTCGTTTTATGAGCCGAAGAACACATCCACCGCGAATGGTAGAACAATTTCCAGTCTGTAGTTTCCCCACCTCAAGAAGACCGAAAAGACGACTGAAGGCCAGAGGACCAGCAAAAGTCACGAACCCAAGTCGTCGGCGGCTAGGGCTTTTCTACGTGTACGACGGTTTTTAGTCCCACATTCATACTACAAAAGATAATCAAACGGTCCAACTAAAAAGAAAAATCAAATGGTTGGGCCCCACCGTCGCCGTAGCCCATCCGCCACTTAAAAAATGACCCCTACACCCCTCCTCAATTCCGTCCAACAAACCTCTTTCCCCTCCCCGCATCCCAAGCCTCCCAGCTCCATCGCCACACGCTCGAACCCACTCCTCACGCTCAAGCGCACACCGCACCAACCAGCGCAGCCATGGCTCTCACCGGCCGCGTCGCCACCACCGCAGCGTGCATCCTCGTCCTCCTCGCGCTCGCCGACGCCGCGGGGGCGGCCACCCGGGCGCCGGCGCCCGCGCCGGCGCAGGACTGCACGGAGGCGTTGACTAGCCTCGCAGACTGCCTCGACTATGTGTTGCCCGACAGCAAGTCGGCCCGGCCTACCAAGGCCTGCTGCACGGAGGTGAAGACCGCCGTCGGCACCCCCGCCACCGTGAAGTGCCTCTGCGCTGCCATGGACGCCAAGACAACTCCGATACCGATCAACATGACACGCGTGCTCGCCCTCCCCACCGCCTGCGGCCAATCCGCCTCTGTCTTGAGCAAGTGCCACGGTGAGCACCGTGCCTTTTCTCACCTTTTCTATAATCTTCTTGTCCTGGGTCTGCCGGTCTGGCTAGAACCCGCTTCCATTTTTTACACCAAGAAACAAGACCTTCTTGTTCCACTAGGAAGTTTGTCATTTCTTTCGGTTCATATGTGAGATTTACGATGAAAGATCTCGATTTGTGTTGGAAATTTTTGGCTGGGTATTGACCTTCTTCACCTCTTGTCTGCTTGCAGCTGCGGCTCCTGCTGAAGGTAACACATTCTTCTCTACACATCATCGTCTTTGTATTTCATTCTTTGATGCATGCTCGTTTCTTGTTTCTGTTGTCTTGTTCTCTTTCGTACCATGATTTGCATCTGTCGCAGTACTACATATGCTCGGTAAAATGATGACGATGAACTCACACATCGTATTTGTGCGCTTAATTTGAGAGTCTGAACAAACAGAAGCTTCTTTAGTTGCATATGAAATTTAACTGAAAAAATCTCTGCTAGTTGTCTTTCTACTAAAGTTGACTCTAACCCTTGTGTTTCCACTAAAAGTCGATCCATAAAATCAAAAGGAACATCGTTATTTTATAAAAATACGCTCCATTTGGTCCACAAGAATGGCATAAAAATGGGGCCGTCGCAGTGTTCGTACTTCGTCGTCCGTGAACACAGCTGTATATTATTTTTTGTGAGCTTTTCCGTTGGCTTGTATCCTTGCGAGCCATTGCATGTGCGCTCTGAGCCTGAGGCCTGGCCAGTCAAAAGGTACGGACAAGAGCATATAGGCTAAAAGAAACTTTTTTGCTTGGAAAAATCACAAGTAGCTAAAAGAAATTTGGACGAGGCAGTCACATGCTGCGATAGACAAAACCCATACCCCTGGTCTCGTAGTACCTCCCGAGTCATTTTACTCCGCATCTAAGATTTATTTAAAATCAAACTTTGTAATGTTTGATCAACTTTATAGAAAAAAAATAGCAACATTCACAATACAAAATCAACATCATTAGATCCATCATGAATTTAAATTTTACATTTTATAACTTTAGAATTACGAAGTTTGACTCCAGACAAGTCTTATATGCCGAGTAAAAAGGTCAGGAAGGAAAATGTGCATCGGCAATTCATTTCTTAGCCGTTTTTCAGAAGCACAAATGTTGAAATTTCAAGGTCTTCCTCGTGTACAGTATTTTTATTTTGGTTGTACAAAGAAATCGTTTGTTTCTGGTAGGTAATCTGTTACTGTTCGTGAGACCACATTGCGATGCACATGTTGCCACTAGTCCACTAGTATCCGGGGAATGCCCCATCAGGGCCACCACTACACATTTCCAGCTATAGTTGCCTATGTGGTGTCTGCTTCCGTGATCTCATTGAAGAGAGCGTAGCAAGCTGACAATTGTGTAGTTAACAGCTATTCTGATAGCTACAACAACAATGATACCTGTCGAGACAATTTTTTACATTGGAGTAGCTGTTTTATATGCCCGTATAAATCCCTTACAATCCTTTTGTCACTGCAGCACCGGCGCCTTCAGCATCCAGTGGCGGCGCGACCGCTTCACCACCGAAGGCGAATGCGGCGGCGAGGTCTCCCGGCGGCCCCGCAACCATTATCCTCGCAACCGTGGCGACTTCGCTGCTCGCCTTCTATTACGTCTGAGGGTCGACATTTCTGCCTCACGTGTTATGTTGCACAGACCTTGTGACTCTGTGTTGTGCGGTGTTGTAATCTGAGTTTACTTTGTTCATCGGGATGGGCTCTGAGTTACAGTTATTATCATGTACCGTGGACTGAATATTGAGTAGTAAATTGCCATGTACCGTGCACTGATTATTGAGAAGCTATGACACTGTTGACTTTGAAATGCGCAGATGATCCGCTACAAACTACTACTACATCCGTCCTGCTTTACTAGGGTTCTTATCTGAACATAATTTTCAATGATATTATTTTTGCTACTTATAACGTTATTTTATTAGTTAAAATCATAGTCAAAATATAACCCAAAATATGAAGGTGGAGGTAGTACGGTAGGAAGGAGTCTGGACTCTAGATGATCTGATACCGATTATACATGGTCTCTCCGACAACATTACTCCTATAAAGAATGACGAAGTACCTGCCTCTTGGGGGCATCCTCGCTTGCGAGTGCCCCTCCACGCCATTTGATCTGTGCGCGTTGATGCCGGTCTAGCGCCCTCCCCGCTGCGCGATCAGGTTATTCTTTGCCTCACCTTCCCGCCGATTTTAGGGGCCCATGGGCCACGGGTGCACTCGTGGTCACATTTTTGTGGCATATTATGTCTTTCCATTGCTTATGCATTTTCTAGGTTGGGTAAGAGCGAGTGCCGTTTTATCCTAAGGATGACTCGGAGGTGGATGACTGGAGGCGGCTGCTTGGCATGAGTTGAGTCATTTGTTTATCCCCATCCAGGTGCGGGGTGTACCTGGCTCGATTTGTGGTGTCTCAATGTTTCATGGACGCATGCCACTGAGACTGCCCCTTGAAGGGATGGCGGGGAGGGTGCTCGGTTTGCGCTAATCGGAGTCCTGGGCTCGGCCATTGCTCGGCGTTTATCGGACCCGATGCGTCGGGGGAGGGGGGGGGGTCCTTGATGGGATTGTTGGGGAGGTTATTCGGCTTGTGCTAGTCGGGGTTCGGCGGGACGTGCCTCGTGGGCGGATCTTTTCTGTTGCATTGCCCAGCCAGTGGGTGCATTATGTGTTGCGTTGATACAGTGTTTGTCTATGTTGTTTGTACATCGCTTTTGGATGTTCTTTCTCTAGTACTGGCGCTGTGTCCACGTATTTCAGCATGTGAGGTGAGTTTAATGGTCTTGGTTGCCTCTATGGTCTCGTTGCTCATGCGTTTTTTTTTGTTTCCTTTACATTTGCTGCTTTATGCTGCACGATCAGATGCCATGATTTTTAGATTATGCTCAGTACTTTTGACTTTTGGATTATGTCTGTTTTTTTCTAGGTTTTCTTCAAGAATTTTTTTAGGTGTCTTTTCGTAGCGTGAAGCACAACTGTACTTTCCTAAAAGAGAAGAAAACACAATTGTGCTTCCCAAAAAAGAAAAGAACATATGTGCCTCCATAAGAAGCACATTTGTGCTGCCTGACTGTGCTTCCCCTTCCGTGAGAAACAGAGTTGTTCTTCCCAAAAACGTGAAAAGAACAAGTGCTCTACATGGTGAAGCACTACTC